GCTGGTCTATTCTTAGGTTGAGCAACTACGTTCCTACCCCCACAGGCTCAGTTTAGGGGAGGATGGACTAGCAAATAAGCAGCATTATACAGAAAGTTAAAAACTGCTAAACCTCCTATTCGCTTTTGTTGTTCAGTTATTGAAGAGGAAAGACTCCACACTCTGGATCACACTGTGACATTGCACCCCATATTCTTCATAGTTGTATGATTATAACATAATTATGATATATTTTGTACAAGATATGTCTTGTCAGGGTCTATGGAAAAGTTATAATGTGCTGAATATGATTATCCTATTTGTATGCATGTATCATTTTTGTATCTGAAGTTATTAATAGTGACTATGTAGCTGTATTTCAAATGTAGTTACACCTGGATGACACCCATGGGGCAAGATGCTCCCAGTCTAGACAGCTGGGCCTATTCAAGGTAATGGGACATTAGGGGAAACAATAGGCTTTTAGGAGAAGCTTATCCCCCACCTGTTGAGCCTTTCTGAGAACGTGCCAAACAGCATATGGATAATGGATTCTATGACTCAGCAAGGCATACAAGGGCATGTGACTGGAGCACATGACACTGAACTCCCTTTTGGGTTTATTTGTATTTTTTCACAAATTGAACTGGGAACTGATTTTGGCACAAAGGGTTCCCACCATGTGGAAAAGCTATATAAAGCGGGGAGTGACATCATCTCTTGGCCTCATTCCCCACACGAGAGAACTGGAAACACCTAAGGAAAAAAGACTGAACTGGGGGAAGCGCTGCTCCCAGGCTAAAGGAATTTCTAGCCTGTGTATGGAAACTTGGTGAACTGCTTGTATCATCAGTCAGGGTGAGAGATTACTGATTCAAATCCTATCTAGTATTTTAGGCTTAGTTTGCCGTTTTTGTTTATTTGCTAGGTAATCTGCTTTGATCTGTTTACAAAAACTTATAATCACTTAAAATCTATCTGTTTGTAGTTAATAAACATGTTTTATCTTTACCAGCATGCTTTGATTGAAGTGTCTGGGGAAAATCTCAGCTTGGTTAACACAATTTGTCGTGCATATCTTCCCCACATTGAGGGGAGAGCGAACTATATTAATGTGCTTTCTTTGTACAAATCCCTGTGCAGTGTAAAATGGTACAATTCTGGGTTTATACTCCAGCAGACCTGCAAGGCGGGGGAGCTGGAAAATTGGCTGTATGTCCTTGAGTCGCTTACGTAAAGCACTCAGCTAACTCAGTTGGGTGTGTGGCACCACCTGCTGTTGTGTTGGGTGATAACAGGACCTGATGAGACTGGCTGTATATCCAATTCAGCAGTGTGACAGAGGCCTGCCCAGCTGGGGGTTAGAGCCCACAGCGGTTCCCATGGCTCCCAGACTGCAGCGCGGGGGTGACAACCCATCACACACACCACTATCTCTTTGTGTAATACCTGCTAATAAACAGGTTTCAGAGTAACAGCCATGTTTGTCTGTATTCGCAAAAAGAAAAGGAATACTTGTGGCACCTTAGAGACTAACCAATTTATTTGAGCATAAGCTTTTGTGAGCTACAGCTCACTTCATCGGATGCATACTGTGGAAAGTGTAGAAGATCTTTTTATATACACACAAAGCATGAAAAAAATACCTCCTCCCACCCCACTCTCCTGCTGGTAATAGCTTATCTAAAGTGATCACTCTCCTTACAATGTGTATGATAGTCAAGTTACTGTCCAGTTTGACCAATGTACATGGCAGAGGGGCATTGCTGGCACATGATGGCATATATCACATTGGTGTATGTGCAGGTGAAAGAGCCTCTGATAGTGTGGCTGATGTTATTAGGCCCTGTGATGGTGTCCCCTGAATAAATATGTGGGCACAGTTGGCAACGGGCTTTGTTGCAAGGATAGGTTCCTGGGTTAGTGGTTCTGTTGTGTTATATGTGGTTGCTGGTGAGTATTTGCTTCAGGTTGGGGGGCTGTCTGTAGGCAAGGACTGGCCTGTCTCCCAAGATTTGTGAGAGTGTTGGGTCATCCTTCAGGATAGGCTGTAGATCCTTAATAATGCGTTGGAGGGGTTTTAGTTGAGGGCTGAAGGTGACAGCTAGTGGCGTTCTGTTATTTTCTTTGTTAGGCCTGTCCTGTAGTAGGAGACTTCTGGGAACTCTTCTGGCTCTATCAATCTGTTTCTTCACTTCCGCAGGTGGGTATTGTAGTTGTAAGAATGCTTGATAGAGATCTTGTAGGTGTTTGTCTCTGTCTGAGGGGTTGGAGCAAATGCGGTTGTATCGCAGAGCTTGGCTGTAGACGATGGATCATGTGGTGTGGTCAGGGTGAAAGCTGGAGGCATGTAGGTAGGAATAGCGGTCAGTAGGTTTCTGGTATAGGGTGGTGTTTATGTGACCATTGTTTATTAGCACTGTAGTGTCCAGGAAGTGGATCCTTGTGTGGACTGGACCAGGCTGAGGTTGATGGTGGGATGGAAATTGTTTGTTGAATTGGAATTCATTTGCAAATTTGATACAATTAACTTAGGCTTGAATAGAGACTGGGACTGGCTAAGTCATTATGCAAGGTAACCTATTTCCCCTTGTTTTTTCCAACCCCCCTCCCCCCCCCGACGTTCTTGTTAAACCCTGGATTTGTGCTGGAAATGGCCCACCTTGATTATCATACACATTGTAAGGAGAGTGATCACTTTAGATAAGCTATTACCAGCAGGAGAGTGGGATGGGAGGAGGTATTTTTTCATGCTTTGTGTGTATATAAAAAGATCTTCTACACTTTCCACAGTATGCATCCGATGAAGTGAGCTGTAGCTCACGAAAGCTTATGCTCAAATAAATTGGTTAGTCTCTAAAGTGCCACAAGTACTCCTTTTCTTTTTGCTAATAAACAGTTGTGCATGAAATGGGATCTAGTCTGGGGTTTAACTCCTTTCTGCACACAGCTCTGGCTCACTACTTAGTGCAATGGGGCAAGGTTAAATTTACAACTGCAGAATGTGTAATCTGTATGTCCCTTTACTTGGGAGACAGCTTCCCTCCATGGGAAAAAAGAGCACTTAATTAGGGACTTGATCCAAAACCAACTGAAGTCAATGGGCACTTTTTCATTTACTTTAGTTGGCTCAGGCTGTGGATTATATGATTGAAACAGAAGAAGTTTCAGAATACAGTACATACTACTGTCATGAAAAGGCTAGCCCCTCTGCTGTCTAGAGAGTAGAATCAGAGCTGCTCCGCTTATGTGCCACCAGCCCTATATTGCTGCTAGCTTACAGAGATTCATTTTTAGCTCAAGTAGTAAGGTCCTGTACTTTTGGCACATGACGATCTGAATTCTGCCTTTGCTGCTGCTGTGGGGATCAGTGTGTGCAGCAAACTAACAGCCATGATGTTTGTAGATGGCTATGGCTTTGTTGTTAAATAGGGTGAAAGCTTATGGGATAAGAACATTTTAAATTGTTGTTGTTTAAATTAGAATGGCCATGTGATGGCAGCATTGCCCCAGAAATGTGAAAAGACTCCATGAGTCAATGGTGATTATGTGAGGGATCTAATATTGTCACTTGTGTACAGGTTGCTTCAGATCAGGATAGAGGTGAAGCGGTGGCAGACCTGGGGGCAGGAGTAACAGGAAGTGCAGTAAATTTCACACTGTAGCATTTTTACCTCCACAGTCTAGGATTGTATCTCAAGCCAATTCTCTTCTCTCACAAGATGGCTGCCCGTCTAGTGACTACTGTTGGTGGCAGTGTGACATTTGACCCCTAGTTGGAGCCATGGGATTCTGCCAACTGCATTCAAATGCAGTTCTGCCCTGAGAGTAAATGTATGAACATGACCCTTACTCAGGGGATTTCCCCCTTTAGGAATCAAGTTATTACTTTAATGACTAAAACCAGGTTTCTTTTACAGATTTATATTCCTTAACTGCCAGGTTCTGTTGATTGCAATGGGGCTCCCAGGTGTCACTGAGGGATTGCTGCAGGGTCATAAAAATTTAATAAATGGGCTAATTTGCTGGCTGATCCTTTATCACTGGTGACGATGAAGAGTCTAGTTTGATTCTCAGATTCCAGGTTAAATTTGAAGGTTTGGAAATTTGGAGTGGGAGGGGGGGTACTGCTTTTCCTTGTTAACTGAGTACATTTGCTCTGGAAATGGCTGAGAAACAAACCTGGAAAGCCATACAGTTTCACAGTAACTCATCAGAGTAGAAATACAGTTTAAGGTTGCTGTCATTAGTGCTTTGTAATGAATATGTTGGAGAGGAGTGCTGAAGACGTGTGTGATGTGCGCTAATCCCCAGGCAACAACATGACTCACCTCTGGGATACAACTTTCCCCCTGGCTTTAGAGAGGTGACCAAATTCAGTCCTGGGTTAACTCCATTGAAGTTAAATGCTGAGTTTGGCCTAGGGTCTCCTAAGGTTGGCTGCAAACTACAGCTACAAGAACTAGTTATGGATCATATTCTTGGCACTTAGGCAAAGTTTTAGTTCAAATTCATAAGGTAAAAATATGCATACTGACATCAACTGACATTCCTGGGGTTTTCCTCCAAGTTAGGCACTTTCCTATATTCCCAACAAACAGAGACCACAGATTGAGCTACTGTGTTAACCACTGCATCGCTGATCAGGCTGCAGCCTTTTGTATACCTAATACCTAATAGTGTTATTTGTATGTTCTTTCTTTCTAAATCATTCCAGAGGACACTCTCCACAGCCTGGGATGTCATGAATGAATGGTCCCTTTCCCCCAAACGTACTCCTCAGTAGGAATCTTTTCCTCTTTAGGTTAGTAGATAGTGAGTATAGGAATTCATAATAGAAACTCCAATGTTTAATTCTTTTGTACTCCAGGAGACATATGGTGGGTGATAAATTTGTTAGTCTCTAAGGTGCCACAAGTTCTCCTTTTCTTTTTGCGAATACAGACTAACACGGCTGCTACTCTGAATCCCTGCTGTGTTCATGAAAACCACATGAATGAAGATCCAGGACCTCCACTCACCAACATAAATCCACGGCTGGCCAAGCACTTGCACTTCACAGAGTGAGAGGAACTCTTCTCTCCCAGGGATTATCACAGTCACATACTGACCTTGCACCCCTTCACAGCCAAATGCGAGTGTTTGCCCGACCTCCGTAGCCTCGACTGTAGCACATCTGAAAATGAACTGGAGCAGTACCAGGGATCCTAGTTTTCTGTGATTAAAAAAAAATCCCACAACATTCTCCAGTAAAAAAACATAAGCCCCCATGTTTTTCCTCAGTTAAAATGAAATGCTGAACTTTAGTTTCCCTAGCCACACTATAAATAGGTATCAGTTGAATACAATGTTTTATTGACATATTTAAAGTTTTTCAGCAAGTTTGAAGCCTACCAGTGCCATCAGTCATTACACAATTGAGCCATGTATTCCACCTGGTCACAACTGGTGCAGGTGGAAGTGTTGGCAAATCAACACTCTGTGCATTCAGGCATCTCAAGAACGTGCACCATGAGCTGGAGCTTTCACTAACAGTGACTTCATCAAAGTGACAAAGCAACCCACTTGCTTAAAGGTATCTCGCCAAGTATTTTCTACCAGTGACTAAATGTGCATAGCAATGAATATTAACACAGTTTGACCTCAGGTTGCAAAGCACATCATTCCAAGCCTTTGCCATGTCGCTTGCACTGTCTGTTACAAATGCTTAGATTCAATCAAGTGGGACGCTGACTTCCACCATAGAAGACATCAAGGCTTGTGAGATGGTTGTATGATTAACTTTTCCCAGGGATACTGTCTTTACAAGCTGTGGTGGGGTACTGACAGCATGCTTAGGCGGGTCTGTCTTGAGCACCTGAAATAAAATGTTGAAAACTGGTCTATTTTGGAAGTTGGTTGTTTCATTGGTGATCACGGCAATGGAGTTTTCTTTCAGGCCATTAAGAAGGTGCTGTTTTTTCTCTTCACAAAGAGTTGTTAAGTAATGGGAATACAACTGATTTGACTTGGAAATGGCACCGCCTCTCTTAAGGTGCTTGCTCAAAAAACTCTGACAACAGGTAAATCCATTTTATACAGAGGAATGTCTACTTTTACACATATTCGAACAAAATCTGAAGTGACAGTTTCACGCTGTTCTTTGGCATTTGTAAAATGCTGGAATGAACCAATCATAGTGAGTTGTTTCTTTACTGTTGTCGATGGCCCTGCTGTTTCAGTCTCTTGTTTTCATTTCTTTTAATTCACTTTATGTTTAGTGTATTCCATGTTTTCTACACTTGTCTGCCTTCAAACTTAATCTATTGCCTTACTGCTGACAGTACAGAACAGCACATTGCCATCAACGTGAAATTTGTTCTTGCCAAACTCCGTGACACAGTGATTTTTAAAGTTTTCAGCATCTGAAGTGAAATTTGAGATACATTAACATATAAACCCCTATACACCGTTGAGTAACCTCTATACTCCGGAAGCAGTTTATTGGAGTATGTTTAGTTATGTAAATTTAAAGTGCATTTAAAAATCAACCACAAGGGGGGGGGCTGCACACCTTGAATAAGTGGCACTGGTAATTAGTACTTCATATGTTTTTATTGTTTCACAAAATGTAAAAACTAAAGATTCTCTGTAAAAACACAAATTCCGTGTTTTTTGGTTGCAAATGGATTTCTAGGATCCCTAATCATTACTCACTTACATAATGATAAAGAATACTAGTGGTTTAATCTTTTAGGAAGGGACACATTTAGGGAGATAGTGAAATAGGTTTTTACTGATCAAAATTTGTTACCCTCTGGCAGTGTTCCCTCTAATTTTTCCCACCCATGTGTGGAATGAATTTTGTTATGTGCACCAATATGGAGGTGATGTGTGACACATCACTTTCATATTGGTGCACATAACAGAATTCATGTGGTGGGGATGGGGTCGAGGGGTTAGGAGTGTGTGTGGGGTGGGCTCAGGCTGGGGCAGAGGGTTGGTGTGCAGGGCGGTGAGGGCTCTGGCTGGGGGTGAGGGCTCTGGGGTGGGACCAGGGATGAGGGGCTCAGGGCTGGGGCAGAGGGTTGAGGTGTGTGTGTGTGTTGGGGGGGAGTGAGGGCTCTGGGGTGGGGCCAGGGATGAGGGGTTTGGGGTTCAGGAGGGTGCTCCAGGGCTACAGAGGGGAGAGAGGACTTCCTCCAGCTCTCTTCCCTGCTGCAGCCGCACCTGGGCTGCACGGGAGAGGTGCCTCTCCCAGCCGCGGCAGCTTCATGGCTGGGGCTGTGGGATAGGCGCCCCTCCCCCAGCCACGGCAGGTCTGGGCTGGGGCTGGGCTGGAGCTGCAGGATTAGCGCCCCTTCTCCGGCTACTGTGGCAGGTCCCGTTGGAGCTGTGTTCTGGCCGCCCCTCCCTTGGCCCGGGGCAGGTCCTGGCCGGGCAGGTTCCCTGAGCGCGTGTGCAATGCTAAATAGGCTGCTGAGTGGCCGTGCGGCCTTGCAGTTTACAAGGAATTTAGCCCTCTGGCTGTTCTTCAGTGGCTTACATGAAATAAATTGGTGGTTTCAATCTATTTTTAATTAACAAGTTCCCTTATTCAAAAGGCCACCAACATTTATTTTTATTACTGTCACGCCTGAGAGCCCCCATCATGGAGCGGAAACCCATTGTGCTAGGTGCTGTACAAACACAGGACAAAAAGACTGCCCCTGCCCTCAGGAACTTACGATCCAAGTATAAGAAAACAGGTGGTAGAGACAGATGGGGGAGTACAAGGAAACAGTGAGACAATATTGGTCAGCATGACAGGCTGTGGTCTCAGCACACCAGCAGCCTAACTCTTGTCAATTATGGTAACAATTACCCGTCTTGTTGGCAGTTCCAGGAATAATTGCAGAGATGCCGAAGAGGGAATGGATCCAAGAGTGAACTACCCTTTGGCAGGACAGGGTGGCTCAGCCTGTCCTGCCACTGTCAGCCCTGTGGGGATAAATGGAAGACTTTGCTGTCCACCAGCGCTGAATTCACTCGGAAAGCAAGAGGGAAGAATTGAAGAACAAGCCAATGTCAGAACAAATCCAGATCTAGGTGCAATCACATAAGAGAAGGTGAGGCTGATCAAAAAGTGAGAACGACTGAGTCCTGGAAAGGGACATCAGCATGGTAGCAACAATCTGGGCACATGTGTGGAAATGTCTCCCTCATCCACCTCCAGTGGACGCACCCCAGGAGACCAGAGATAGAACAACAAGGAATGGCAGCAGCCACTGAACTAACATAAGTGATGTAGATACATGATGCTCATGCTGTAACAAGATGCAGGGGTCTTCCTCTGCACAAAGTGCAAGCTGGTTACCCTTCTCAAGGAGAAGCCAGGTGGACAGGAATGGCAACTGGAGTTACTGAGGGTATGTCTACACTACGAAATTAGGTCGAATTTATAGAAGTCGGTTTTTTAGAAATCGGTTTTATATATTCGAGTGTGTGTCCCCCCACAGAAAATGCTCTAAGTGCATTAACTCGGCGGAGTGCTTCCACAGTACCGAGGCTAGAGTCGACTTTCGGAGTGTTGCACTGTGGGTAGCTATCCCACAGTTCCCGCAGTCTCCGCTGCCCATTGGAATTCTGGGTTGAGATCCCAATGCCTGATGGGGCTAAAACATTGTCACGGGTGGTTCTGGGTACATATCGTCAGGCCCCTGTTCCCTCCCTCCCTCCATGAAAGCAAGGGCAGACAATCGTTTCACGCCTTTTTTCCTGAGTTACCTGTGCAGATGCCATACCAGGGAAGCATGGAGCCCGCTCAGCTCACTGTCACCGTATGTCTCCTGGGTGCTGGCAGACGCGGTACTGCATTGCTACACAGCAGCAGCAACCCATTGCCTTGTGGCAGCAGATGGTGCAATAGGACTGGTAGCTGTCATCGTCATGTCCGATGTGCTCCTGGTCGCCTGTATGAGGTCGATCAGGAGCGCCTGGGCAGACATGGGCACAGGGACTAAATTTGGAGTGACCTGATCAAGTCATTCTCTTTAGTCCTGCAGTCAGTCCTATTGAACCATCTTATGGTGAGCAGGCAGTTGATACGGATTGCTAGCAGTCCTATTGCATCGTCTTCTGCCGGGCAGGCAAGAGATGAGGATGGCTAGCAGTCCTATTGTACCATCTTCTGCCGAGCAGCCATGAGATGTAGATGGCATGCAGTCCTTCTGCACCATCTGCTGCCAGCCAAAGATGTAAAAGATAGATGGAGTATATCAAAAGAAGAAATAGACCAGATTTGTTTTGTACTCATTTGCAACCCCCCCTCCCGCCCCCCGTCTAGGGGACTCATTCCTCTAGGTCACACTGCAGTCACTCACAGAGAAGGTGCAGCAAGGTAAATCTAGCCGTGTATCAATCAGAAGCCAGACTAACCTCCTTGTTCCAATAAGAACAATAACTTAGGTGCACCATTTCTTATTGGAACCCTCTGTGAAGTCCTGCCTGAAATACTCCTTGATGTACAGGCACCCCCTTTGTTGATTTTAGCTTCCTGTAAGCCCACCCTGTAAGCTGTGTCGTCAGTCGCCCCTCCCTGCGTCAGAGCAATGGCAAACAATCGTGCATCTGAGTTGAGAGTGCTGTCCAGAGCAGTCACAATGGAGCACTCTGGGATAGCTCCCGGAGGCCAATACCGTCGAATTGTGTACACAGTACCCCAAATTCGACCCGGCAAGGCCGATTTAAGCGCTAATCCACTTGTCAGGGGTGGAGTAAGGAAATCGATTTTAAGAGCCCTTTAAGTCGAAATAAAGGGCTTCATCGTGTGGACAGGTGCAGGTTTACATCGATTTAATGCTGCTAAATTCGACCTAAAGTCCTAGTGTAGACCAGGGCTGAGAAAGATCAGGCAATGGGGAGGATTTATCAAAAGGTCAGTACAGGAGATAACTGTCGTAGACCAAGGCAGGAAGAAGAGCAGAATGGGAAAGAAGACAGCATGAAAAATAACATGCCAGGTTAATGAAAGTGCTAAGGTTGTAATGAAACCGCCAACAGGTTAACAGGCAGAATGTCAGATGACTTTGGAGACTTGAACCTAGAACTGAAGACAACATTCTTTGCAGGGATTTTGACAGGGCCGCGGTTGAATAAAGCTGAACTATAGAGAATGAACGAATGCTGTTCATGGAGCACTGCTTTTCTTTCAGTGATGCACTGGTTGGATGGCCTCCCTTTAAACAGCACTGGAATCAGGCTCCTTGGTTTTATGCAATGAGGGCTTTAAATTAGGTGAAAAGAGGAAGTGGTACAAAGAGGAAAAGATCTAGACAAAAGAAAGAGCAGAATGCCAGAAGAAAACATAGTGAAGAAGATGATGTACATTAAATGATAAGCTCTTTGGGGCAGCGGCCATCTTTTCATTACATGGCCTGGTCTGCACTTAAAATTTAGTTTGAGCCAGCTGTGTTGCTCAGCGCACAGTTAAGGCACTGTGGCTAGCTCGATGGATGAATTCTTCCAGCAACCCAGCTACTGCCACTTGGAGAGGTGGATTAGCTACAGCAATGGAAAAAACCCTTCTGTCACTCTAGGACAGGGGTTCTCAAACTGGGGGTTGGGACCCCTCAGGGGGTCGTGAGGTTATTACATGGGGGGGTCACGAGCCATCAACCTCCACCCCAACCCCGCTTTGCCTCCAGCATTTATAATGGTGTTAAATATATACAAAAGTGTTTTAAATTTATAAGGGGGGGTCATACTCAGAGGCTTGCTACGTGAAAGGGGCCACCGGTAAAAAAGTTTGAGAACCACTGCTCTAGGAAACATCTACACTACAGTGCTATAGAGGTACAGATGCGGTGCCTTAGCTCTGCCACTGTAGTGTCTGTAGTGTAGACATGGCCTGGGTGTGTACAGTGCCTTGCACAATCCCAAACCCTGACTGGGGCCTCTACATGCTACTGCTAAACAAATACTACTAATAAAATAACTCAGAACTTAGCACAGACAGCGTGGGTGAGCTCTGAGAAAGCACAGCGCTCTGAGAAAGCTCGAAAGCATGTCTATTTCACCAACAGCAGTTGGGCCAATAAAAGATATTACCTCACCCACCTTGTCTCTCTAATATCCTGGGACCAACACAGGAAGAACAACACTGCATCAGGAGTTAGCAGGCATATTCAGGGCAAAACCTAAGGTGGCTTGGCTGACAATCTATCACAAATATGTGGTCATCAAAAGATCAACAGTTACAGTAGGCAACTGGTTTGCCTTCAAATACTGAATCATGATGTTAGGAACTAATTAGAGATTTTGGGTGCTCAACTTGAGACACCTGATTTCAAAGGGAGGATGGCCAGCACTTTCTGCAAATTAGACCCCTTTAAAGTGTTGCTAGTTTGGGCTCCCAAAAATGGAGGCATCCCAAATCTCTAGCCATTTCTGAAAATCATGGCCACTCGCTTGCTGTGTTCATGGCCTGTTACCTGAAAAGTTAAAGATACCACAGAGCTGTGCAAAATTTGATGATGTGGAGTCACACAACTACCTTGAACTGAGGTGGGTTCAATTTGCGAGGGACCACACCCCCTGAAAATTACTTAGCATTTTCTCAAAACTTGAAACCCTAAAAAACCCCAGGCCAGGTTTGCCAGATTCATCTAGAAGGGTACAAAAGGCTGAAATTAAATGCTTGGATCAGGTCCCGTGACAGCAAATTGTACTCGGTTACTTTTATTCCACTTTTCACTAATGCTCAGAAATTATATTACAAGACAGCAGAATAATACCTAGGGTTCAATGGGCTACCTTCCTCTCTTGAGTCCCTGATATGAATCTCAGCCTCCTTTATCTGTGATGCACAACAGTCTCCTCTGTTGGTATTTACCAGCAAGGTCACCACAAATGCTGAATTCAAGTCAACCATTCACCATGACTCTAAGGGTATGTCTACACTACGGAATAAGGTTGAATTTATAGAAGTCGTTTTTTTAGAAATCGGTTTTATATATTCGAGTGTGTGTGTCCCCACAGAAAATGCTCTAAGTGCATTAAGTGCATTAACTCGGCGGAGTGCTTCCACAGTACCGAGGCTAGAGTCGACTTCCGGAGCGTTGCACTGTGGGTAGCTATCCCACAGTTCCCGCAGTCTCCGCTGCCCATTGGAATTCTGGGTTGAGATCCCAACGCCTTTTTTTCTGAGTTACCTGTGCAGACGCCATACCACGGCAAGCATGGAGCCCGCTCAGGTAACCGTCACTGTATGTCTCCTGGGTGCTGGCAGACGCGGTACGGCATTGCTACACAGTAGCAGCAACCCATTGCCTTCTGGCAGCAGACGGTGCAATACGACTGGTAGCCGTCATCGTCGTGTCCGAGGTGCTCCTGGCCACGTCGGCTGGGAGCGCCTGGGCAGACATGGGCGCAGGGACTAAATTTGGAGTGACTTGACCGGGTCATTCTCTTTAGTCCTGCAGTCAGTCCTATTGAACCGTCTTATGGTGAGCAGGCAGGCAATACGGATTGCTAGCAGTCGTACTGTACCATCTTCTGCCGGGAAGGCAAGAGATGAGGATGGCTAGCAGTCGTACTGTACCATCTTCTGCCGGGAAGGCAAGAGATGAGGATGGCTAGCAGTCGTACTGTACCATCTTCTGCCGAGCAGCCATGAGATGTGGATGGCATGCAGTCCTTCTGCACCGTCTGCTGCCAGCCAAAGATGTAAAAGATAGATGGAGTGGATCAAAATAAGAAATAGACCAGATTTGTTTTGTACTCATTTGCCTCCTCCCCCGTCTAGGGGACTCATTCCTCTAGGTCACACTGCAGTCACTCACAGGGAAGGTGCAGTGAGGTAAATCTAGCCATGTATCAATCAGAGGCCAGACTAACCTCCTTGTTCCAATAAGAACAATAACTTAGGTGCACCATTTCTTATTGGAACCCTCCGTGAAGTCCTGCCTGAAATACTCCTTGATGTAAAGCCACCCCCTTTGTTGATTTTAGCTCCCTGAAGCCAACCCTGTAAGCCGTGTCGTCAGTCGCCCCTCCCTCCATCAGAGCAATGGCAGACAATCGTTCCGCGCCTTTTTTCTGTGCAGACACCATACCAAGGCAAGCATGGAGGCCGCTCAGCTCACTTTGGCAATTAGGAGCACATTAAACACCACACGCATTATCCAGCAGTATATGCAGCACCAGAACCTGGCAAAGCGATACCGGGCGAGGAGGCGACGTCAGCGCGGTCACGTGAGTGATCAGGACATGGACACAGATTTCTCTGAAAGCATGGGCCCTGCCAATGCATGCATCATGGTGCTAATGGGGCAGGTTCATGCTCTGGAACGCCGATTCTGGGCTCGGGAAACAAGCACAGACTGGTGGGACCGCATAGAGTTGCAGGTCTGGGACGATTCCCAGTGGCTGCGAAACTTTCGCATGTGTAAGGGCACTTTCATGGAACTTTGTGACTTGCTTTCCCCTGCCCTGAAGCACATGAATACCAAGATGAGAGCAGCCCTCACAGTCGAGAAGCGAGTGGCGATAGCCTTGTGGAAGCTTGCAACGCCAGACAGCTACCGGTCAGTTGGGAATCAATTTGGAGTGGGCAAATCTACTGTTGGGGCTGCTGTGAAGCAAGTAGCCCACGCAATCAAAGATCTGCTGATATCAAGGGTAGTGACCCTGGGAAATGTGCAGGTCATAGTGGATGGCTTTGCTGCAATGGGATTCCCTAACTGTGGTGGGGCCATAGACGGAACCCATATCCCTATCTTGGCAGCAGAGCACCAAGCCGCCGAGTACATAAACCGCAAGGGGTACTTTTCAATTGTGCTGCAAGCTCTGGTGGATCACAAGGGACGTTTCACCAACATCAAAGTGGGATGGCCGGAAAAGGTACATGACGCTCGCATCTTCAGGAACTCTGGTCTGTTTCAAAAGCTGCAAGAAGGGACTTTATTCCCAGACCAGAAAATAACTGTTGGGGATGTTGAAATGCCTATATGTATCCTTGGGGACCCAGCCTACCCCTTAATGCCATGGCTCATGAAGCCGTACACAGGCAGCCTGGACAGTAGACAGGAGCTGTTCAACTACAGGCTGAGCAAGTGCAGAATGGTGGTAGAATGTGCATTTGGACGTTTAAAGGTGCTCTGGTGCAGTTTACTGACTCGCTTAGACCTCAGCGAAACCAATATTCCCACTGTTATTACTGCTTGCTGTGTGCTCCACAATATCTGTGAGAGTAAGGGGGATACGTTTATGGCAGGGTGGGAGGTTGAGGCAAATCGCCGGGCTGCTGGTTACGCGCAGCCAGACACCAGGGTAGTTAGAAGAGCACAGGAGGGCGCGGTACGCATCAGAGAAGCTTTGAAAACCAGTTTCATGACTGGCCAGGCTATGGTGTGAAAGTTCTGTTTGTTTCTCCTTGATGAAACCCCCCGCCCCTTGGTTCACTCTACTTCCCTGTAAGCTAACCACCCTCCCCTCCTCCCTTCGATCACCGCTTGCAGAGGCAATAAAGTCATTGTTGCTTCACATTCATGCATTCTTTATTCATTCATTACACAAATAGGGGGATGACTACCAAGGTAGCCCAGGAGGGGTGGTGGAGGAGGGAAGGAAAATGCCACACAGCACTTTAAAAGTTTACAACTTTAAAATTTATTGAATGCCAGCCTTCTGTTTTTTGGGCAATCCTCTGTGGTGGAGTGGCTGGTTGGCCAGTGGCCTCCCCACCGCGTTCTTGGGCGTCTGGGTGTGGAGGCTATGGAACTTGGGGAGGAGGGCGGTTGGTTACACAGGGGCTGTAGCGGCAGTCTGTGCTCCAGCTGCCTTTGCTGCAGCTCAACCATACACTGGAGCATACTGGTTTGGTCCTCCAGCAGCCTCAGCATTGAATCCTGCCTCCTCTCATCATGCTGCCGCCACATTTGAGCTTCAGCCCTGTCTTCAGTCCGCTACTTACTCTCTTCAGCCCACCACCTCTCCTCCCGGTCATTTTGTGCTTTCCTGCACTCTGACATTATTTGCCTCCACGCATTCGTCTGTGCTCTGTCAGTGCGGGAGGACAGCATGAGCTCAGAGAACATTTCATCTCGAGTGCGTTTTTTTTTCTTTCTAATCTTCACTAGCCTCTGGGAAGGAGAAGATCCTGTGATCATTGAAACACATGCAGCTGGTGGAGAAAAAAAAAAGGGAAAGTGGTATTTAAAAAGACACATTTTATAAAACAGCGGCTAGACTCTTTCAGGGTAAACCTTGCTGTTAACATTGCATACATAGCACATGTGCTTTCGTTCCAAGGTCGCATTTTGCCTCCCCCCACCACGTGGCTACCCCCTCAACCCTCCCCCCTCCCCGTGGCTAACAGCGGGGAACATTTCTGTTTAGCCACAGGCAAACAGCCCAGCAGGAATGGGCTCCTCTGAGTGTCCCCTGAAGAAAAGCACTCTATTTCAACCAGGTGACCATGAATTATATCTCACTCTCCTGAGGATAACACAGAGAGTTAAAGAACGGATGTTGTTTGAACACCAGCAAACATACACTGCAATGCTTTGTTGTACAATGATTCCCGAGTATGTGTTACTGGCGTGGAGTGGTAAAGTGTCCTACCATGAAGGACGCAATAAGGTTGCCGTCCCCAGAAACCTTTTGCAAAGGCTTTGGGAGTACATCCAGGAGAGCCGCGAATGCCAGGGCAAAGTAATCCTTTCACATGATTGCTTTTAAACCATGTATAGTATTTTAAAAGGTACACTCACCGGAGGTCCCTTCTCCGCCTGCCGGGTCCAGGAAGCAGCCTTGGGTGGGTTCGGGGGGTACTGGCTCCAGGTCCAGGGTGAGAAACAGTTCCTGGCTGTCAGAAAAACCGGTTTCTCCGCTTGCTTGCTGTGAGCTATCTACAACCTCCTCCTCCTCCTCCTCATCATCTTCTTCGTCCCCAAAACCTGCTTCCGTGTTGCCTCCATCTCCATTGAAGGAGTCAAACAACACGGCTGGGGTAGTGGTGGCTGAACCCCCTAAAATGGCATGCAGCTCATCATAGAAGCGGCATGTTTGGGGCTCTGACCCGGAGCGGCCGTTCGCCTCTCTGGTTTTCTGGTAGGCTTGCCTCAGCTCCTTCAGTTTCACGCGGCACTACTTCGGGTCCCTGTTATGGCCTCTGTCCTTCATGCCCTGGGAGATTTTGACAAAGGTTTTGGCATTTCGAAAACTGGAACGGAGTTCTGATAGCACGGATTCCTCTCCCCAAACAGCGATCAGATCCCGTACCTCCCGTTCGGTCCATGCTGGAGCTCTTTTGCGATTCTGGGACTCCATCATGGTCACCTCTGCTGATGAGCTCTGCATGGTCACCTGCAGCTTGCCAAGCTGGCCAAACAGGAAATGAGATTCAAAAGTTCGCAGTTCTTTTCCTGTCTACCTGGCCAGTGCATCTGAGTTGAGAGTGCTGTCCAGAGCGGTCACAATGGAGCACTCTGGGATAGCTCCCGGAGGCCAATACTGTCGAATTGTGTCCACAGTACCTCAAATTCGAGCCGGCAAGACAGATTGTTAAGCGGTAACCATAAGAGGTAACACGTGTTGTAAATGGAAGTTTATTAAAACAGGGAATGATGTATTTTTAAATTAAAAATATGTAGGAGACAGAGAAAAATAAGGATTGCTCAACACATAGTGTGCCACATCAGATACTAAAGGATTCAGCATTTACCTCCAACATGGATTAAAGAAGCATCTGCAATACGAACCTTTCCAGCACCACCCGGAACATGTTCAAAATAACAGCAGTTACCAAACTGAGTGAAACAACCCCCTCAATCCACATGAAGGAATGAATTACCTGAAAGAGAAGCTGAGCATACAATAATAAATTCATCTTTAACAACAGGACCACTGTCATTACACTATATGCTACCC